GCTCCTGATGGGGCAGAGCCCTTGATATAGCTCCTGACGGCCCCGGATCAGAGTGTTTGGCGACTGCCCTGCCCCAGGCGCACCGGAGGAGCTCTGGCCCATGCGCAGCCAGACTAGTTAGGGTTTTTTTCGGCTTTGTTTGCTTTTAAATCTACAGGCGCCGTTTCATCTCAAGCTCTGCTCAGCCTCTGACCTCCTGTTGGCAATTCTCCTCTGGACCCTGACTTTTTTGGAGGGGGGCGGGTTAAAGTGAGAATGGGGTGGAGAAAGAAATGTTACTCGCGTGTCCTTGGCTCCCAGGGCTGGCGATGGCAGGAAAAGAGGACTCATCACTATAACCGGAGGTCGCCGGCCGCCTGTGATCTGGCGTTGCCGCCCTCGTCCCCCTGAAGTTCCTACGTAAGAATTTGCAGAAAACACATCCCACACCGGTCCCTAACCGGGTCCAAGTTGCCTGGGTCTCGCCGCCTTTCCTGACTGGAGAAAAACCCTGTTTTGTGAGCAAAGTAGATGGCCCTCAAGACCGTTTCTTGTAGAGTTTTTACGGAGGCTCCTGCCAGCTCTGCATTCTCACGAAGAGTTATCCCAAGACCTCCCACATCCACCAGAGGAGACCTGAATCCTTCTCCGGCCTAGGTCAGGGGACATTCCGGGCACTCAGCAAGCCCGCGGTGGCGTGCATCCCAGCGAACCCTAGCCAGGCTGCGAGGCCTCCCTGCTGGGGCCAGTTCTCAGCTCAGGCTTGGAGGCGGCACTGTCCCTATTCGGTCGAGAGTCCCCTCCTACCTCTCCCTGCTCCTTTGCGGTCATCCCGTCGCCCGTTTTTCTCTTCTAGAGCTTCTCCTGGACACCAGGACGGGCCCCATCGTATTTACTGCACAAAACCCCGCTTTTAAAGCCCGGTTAGGGGCCTCTGTCCTTTGTAGGAGACTTAGAAAAAGTGAAATTGAGCGCCCTGTGGGTGGCCCTTCTAAGGAGAGAAGACTCTCCTTCGTTTGCGTCTCTGCTCAAGTGCTTTAAAGTTACACTAAGGACCTGCTCTCTATTCCTTTACTGTGGACGGAGTGGGGTGGGGGGGCGCGGCGGAGGGGGGAAGGAGAAGGCGATCTGAGGATAGTAGCTGCCCTGTAGACATTGGCTGCTCTCCTCCAAAGCCCCAGGGTGGGAATTTCTCCACCAGAATTGCAATGTGGGTGTCTGGAAGGTTTTTGAATGTAGGACTTTAGAGGCACTCCTACTCCATTTCACCTCCCCAGCCCTCCTCCTGGAGTCACCAAACTCCCTGTCAGGGCCAAGTTGTCCTCCCTGGCTTTGCATACCAGAGCTGTTCATCTGGGACCTGTCCAGCCTGCCAAGCAGTTTTTGAGGTTCTGCCTCTGCCTCCAAGTCCTGGTGTTTTTGGTGGCTGCCCCAGCCTGCAGAAGTGAGAGGAGTAAAAGCTTTGAGCTTATAAATTCACTTAAAGCAACTATTACACTTTTCTCTTTCTGACCATGTGTGAAACAACACATATTATTAATGATTTGAGTCTATAATTCAGGAAACAGGAGATATTTTTTATACAGGTCTCTTCTTTCTCCACTGTGGGGTCTCTCCTCAACAGAGATCCCCTAATATATGCAGTCAAGGAGAGGTTTCAGGAATCCAACATCTGTTCCTGTTGGTTTGAAAGTTAATGAAACTCGACTATAATTCCAATTATTTCCAAAAGTATCTTGTTCATTTGTCTGAAACAGCCAGGTAAAAATTACAACCTGCAAACTGATGCTAAATTGGTCCTTTTTCTGCTCACCCTAAAGTTGGCCAAACTAATAGCAAATAATTTTAGATGATTCACATTTTGGCGTAATTGCCATCACATCTTGTTCCCAAGGTGTTCTCCAGTTGGTCGGCTGACTGTCTAGCCAGGTCTTCTGCATCTACTCAGCCTGGTTCTCTTCCAGAGTTCCTTAATTTGATTTGGTCTCATAGAATCCCCGTCTCCAGGTCCCCTTATTTCCCACCCCGCCCCCCGCCACCAACACCACCAGATCAATCGCAGAGACAATTGATTTTTTTGTGTCCTGTTCAAACCAAAAAGTGCTGACATCTTGGGAAGTGGGCAACAACTCTCATGGACTATCAGACAAACAGGCCAATGTCCAGATTTAGGGATTAAAGTTGTGTGTGCACACATATATGTTGAAGTACATATGCATGTAATCATGTTCATACACCTGACTGTGTATACAAATGATAGTGTTGAGAAATTGAGACAAATTTTCAACGTAATGCCAGAATGTAAACAGAGTGAGAAATCATATTAATCTGGACAAATGAAGAGGTGAATCACACCTAAATGTCTAGGAGTAGATCATTAATTATGAAATCCGAGACTCTTTTGAGCATCCTATGCTTGCTAGAAATGAATCATCTTTTTTTCTCTCTCTTTTATTGAAAATAAGACCCTAAATTCCTTTTGACTGAAAGGAAGTTACCAGACAAGATGCAATTTTCTCTTTCTTTTCTGACAACTCTGTCATCCAAAGGATCACAGCCATGTCAGGGTGTCTGTCTTGGAAAGAAAAAAAAGAGAGAGAGAGAGAGAGAGAGAGAGAGAGAGAGAGCTAGTGAGAGAAGCCCTGAAGCCCGTGGCCATCTTTGCATCAAAATTTTCCAGACCTCTATTTTTGATTGTGATCCCACTGATCTGAGTTTGAAATGCGAACGCAGTGAAGCCCCTAAGCCTTCAATCGTGTGAAATTTTCAAAAGATCTCTAGAAGCAATCTCAGGCTGCCTGACCCCTGACAGGCACCGATCTCTTTATTCCTCTCTCTGCCAGCACTTCATTTGTCGGAATATCTTTCAGATTTGCACCTCCAGATGACAAACCTGAGTGTTTATTATGTGTACATGAATCGGAAATCTTCAGGCCCGCACAAAAGCACCATTTTAAACATAATATTTAATTTCCCAGCCTAAGTGTCTGCTTCTTTATTTGCTTTTCATTAGCTTAAATATTTTTTCCAGGTCTCCCCATGTGTCACTTTGATATTTAGATGATTCTCTCTTCTAATCATCATTTCCCCCTTGAAAAATCCCCGGTTGCCCGCGACTGCTGGGCTCACACGGCAACGTCACCGTGTGGCGGATGGCGAGGACTCATAGCTCGAGGCACAGCAGTTCAGGGAGTGCGGGGTGGGGGGCGCGTCTCCAGACAAGGTAAGGGCCAGTGGGGTGCCAAAGAAAGACTTGCTTTTTAAGCCAGAGGCCAGGACTGGGGCCCAAGGCAGTGAAGACCCTCCCATCTCACTCCATCCTTCTGCTTCAGGCCTTTTTAATTCCCCATATTACTTTTGAAAAAACAAAACAAACCCTCAGGTGTCTTGAGAAAGTGCTGGGGGCAGCTTTAACTGATTCGCGTGTGCTCCGCTACTGGTCCTCTGAGCGTGGGCGTCAGGTTTAGCCATTCCACCCGAACCAGTTCGACTCATTCCTGTCTCGGGACTTGTTTTTCCGCCTGCCTTTCTGTGGGCACCTAAATCCTGGGAGCTTGAGGGCACTAGAGGGCAAGGGGATGGAGGGCGCTTCTTGAAAGAGGGCTGCTTTGTTAAAATGTCCCATGCCAAATAATTTCAGGGACAAGCCTTTGGGGTCGAGATGCCGCCCACCCCTCCCCCAACCTCAGCCCCAGATCGGGGCTTTAGATCCCAGCCTGGCACCCAGGTGGACTGAGTTGAGACAGGGACGAGCTCCAGCTCTGCAGAACCCAGAGGTGACTCGCCACTCTCAAGCACAGTCCCAGGTCGAGAGGTGGTGGGCTGAAGCCTGAACCCCCCTCCCTGTGCGTTTGGATGGGCCATGTTGCTATGATTAACTTATTAAACCCCTGATAATTATTTTAATTTGACTCGAAAAAATACTTTGGGCGGCGTTGTGATGTGTTTGTATTTATCCATCCCCCCTATAAAACCTGTGTTAAAACAAATGTTACTTTTCTCTCTCTGTACATAGACCCTCCCTTTTTGAAATAGACCGCAGGGACTGCCATTAGATCGAATGGCAAGTCTTTATGGAAAGTGTTTTGCATAATTACATACCAAAGCCAGAACAGTCACCTCCACATTTTATGGGTCACAAACCATCAACAATTGCCACATTATTGTCCACGAAACCTTAGTCTCTTCATTGATGGAGCGGACTCCACTGCCTAATCTAGAACGGGAGAGGATGGAAATTTCTTCTAATAAGAACCTGAGAAGATTATGTCCCCACTGACAACGTGTTTACATGTAGTTATAAAGTTCAGAGGACCGACCAAGAGAGGAAAGGAAATCGGACTAGGCCTGATTAAGGACGGCGCATCGGTCTAATATAGATAGCGCATCAAAAGGAGCGGCTGAATGCCTCTCCCCTTTTCAGATCCGACCCCTTTTCTACCTTTGTGATGCAGTAATTAAGATATTCTTATTTAGACAGACAGCTTCTCTGGTAACTGAATAATATTAGCTCCTTTGATGTCAAACTTTTGACAGTTATCACACCAGCACTGGGCAATTTAGCACAAATGCCCTCCTTAAAAAAAAAAAAAAAGAAAGAAAGAAAACCCCCATCGGCTTTGAAGAAATCTAATAAGTGTGATCCTTATCACCAAATGATCTAAATCGCCGCCGACAGACCGCCTAGCTATAATTTACATTCGGTTGTACATAATGAAGCCGAATTTGGGTTTTAACTCATTGAGGCAGCATTGGTGGAAAGTGGGGTCGGAGCCCCACACTTACAGCTCCCCCATTCCAGACACCCAGAACTGCTGACGAGTGCAATAGAAAAACCCCACATTCTACCCGGTCAGGGCGGGGATGGGGCAGAGGTGGGGGCAGGTGCGGGTAGAGTCCACCGCCCTTGCCCCAGCTCCGGAGAGTCCGGCAGGACCAGCCACCTACTCCCGGGATGAGCCGTCGCTGTTGCTTTCCGAGCTTGGTCGCCAAACTTGGGATTTGCCAGATGGCAGGATTATCTTCGCGTCTGTTATATTATGTGTGCGTTGCGGGGGGAGCGGGGGTGGAGAGCGAAGACAGGGAAGTCCAGAGACCGCGCTGATCCCTTTAAAATACACGCATGTTCCCTCTTTGCCCACTCCCGGGCTGCAGCCGCCGGGACCCTTACCGGAGTTCCTGGCACCTCGGAGCGGCCACGGCAGGCAGCAGGCGGAGCCTCTGCCACCCCTGCCCTTCGGTTCCGGCCCCCTGCCCGCATCTCTAGACCTGGGGCCCTGTGCCCAGATGCGAGGAACTGGGGGTTGGGAGTGCGAATGTGAGAACTTACCCCAGAGGAGAAAGGGGGGAGGTATGAGAGTTGGAAGGGAAGGGGGCAAAGAGGGCGGGTTAGGAAGGATGGGACTGTGACAGTGGCACCTGGAAGGCATTGTCCTAACGAGCGACACCTGTCAATCTCCGCTCCGGGGTCCCGGGGCCGGGGGCGGGGAGGCCGCGGGTCTCTGTGGTGATGTCATCTCAGAGTCCTTTCCCGGCTAAGGGCGGGAAGGCTGGGAGGGGCGCGGAGCTAGGAGAAGGATGGGGGAGGAAAAGAGAAAATAAACAGAAGTCGCTCTCACTCGCCACATCCTCTGTTCGCAATTTACATGGAAATCAAAAATCCAACTTCAATGTTATTTCTAATTTTGATTGATCGTCTTGCCTTTTCACTGGGGGAGGAGAAATAGGGTTGCTGCATCTCATCCCACAACCCACACAATCTGTGGGGAAGTCTTGTTGCCCGAAAGCTCGGAGGTGACCGACTCTTCTAGACCCAGCTCCCCTCTTTCCCTGGCGGTTGTTCCAAGCTTTAGGCTTAAAGAGGAAACACTTGGAGATGAGTTTTGAAAGTCTTCCGATATTGCAGGGGGCAAGGAGGGGGAGTTAATTAACTCTGGGTTTGTTCAGCGAGTGGGAGAGGGGGACTCGGCGTGGGTGGGCGGGCCAGGTCGAACGCGGGGGAGCGCAGTGCGGGAGGCTTGTGAGCCCAAAGCCCCTGCTTGCAGGCCCAGATTGGGGGGAGGAGGTCTACGGTGGCCTGGGCCGGGGGTGCGGGGCGGGGGTGTTGCTGAGGTACCCCAGGGAGTCTCCCAATGGTCCTAGAGAAATTCTGATCTCCCACCTACTGAGTCCCCACCCCCACCCCACAGTGCGCTACCGAACTCTCCCTCTTTCTATTCTTTTCCGCCCGAGCTAATTAGCAGCCTGCCAGCGGCCTGATTTATGGAAACGCTCGGGCGGGCGGAGACCCGCCGCTAGTCTAGCCGGGCTGCCTCGGGGCGGAGTGGAGGAGGAGTCTCGACCGGCCCCCTCCGTTGAGTTTCCCTTCTCGGGGTCGGAAAATGGAAGTTGTCGGTCCCCTACTGCCGTCACCCGGGCTGGTCTAGGAGACCCCCACGCCCTCGCTTCCCCCGCCTGGGGTGCAGAAAGCCCTGGCGCTAGCGGAGCGGGCGGAGGCCAGTGGCCGCACAGCGTGCTGCGGACACCCGAGGCCGCCAGGTTCCAACTCCAGCTAACTCCGAAGGCGGGCTGGACGCCGATGGGGTCCGAGCCGCCTATGCCCGAGTTGGGGGCCTAGCTTCCCACCTCCAGGTCCCCAGAGAAGGGAAATTAGACCTGCAAGGGGAGGGGCGCTGCCCAAGATCGGCTTCACCTCTCCGCACCCCTCCAAGGCCGCAGAGAATCACTAGGCCAGGGTGGGCCCGAAAGGAGCCACTGGCCCTGCTGGCCCGGGAGTCGCTGGCTAGCGCCTGGGGAGGGCGTGGTTCTCTCCACTTTCCCTCTGGTGCACTTTCTCCAGGGGCGTATCCTCAGAGGGCTCCTCTAAGTAGGAGTCTTCAAACAAGAGTTGGAATTTCTCCGAGGTGAGTGCAGGTCACAGGCCATTTCTGGAGCCACCCGGCGGGGCATTTGCCCGAAGACCCGGCACAGTCTCCTCGCCATCTTCGGGCTGCTTTGGATAGTCAAGGGGGGAGAGGGGTCGAGGAGTATTCCCTCTTTCCCATTTGATCCCAGAAATGAGGATGGAGAGCAAGCGGAGTGAACGAGCCGGGCAAGAAAGTGCAGCAGGACCTGTTGCTGGCGCTCAAGCAGCCTCACCTCGGAGGGAATGTTGGACACCTTGATTTCTCCAAGGAGCACCAGTGCTCTCTCCACCTCGGGGAGTCTTGGGGGAAAGAGACTAGCAGACGCAGAGGGCCAGAGGCCCGGGGAACTCTCCCGGGCTTAGGTTTGGAGTGCAGACAGGGACAGAGTGGGGTGAAGTCACTGTGAAAAGGATAGCGTCCCTACACCCGGCTAAGACTGAAATTGCAATTGTAGGGAACTGAGATCTCCAAAAGAGTGTGTAAGGTTTACTTTAAAACACCCAACCAGTTCATGTTTTTCAGAAGGCATTCTGGATGCCCTGACGGGGGCATGTCGGGAATGGGACCCTTCTTCCCTCCCCACAAGAACTTCAGACACCTGCTCTATCCTGCCTTCAGCCCCCAGGCCCCCAGGACCCCTCCTTCCCGGGTTTCCCTCACATAAGAGAGTCATTTAATGTGATAGATAACTCAGCCCCGGCTCAACTCACCCACCCACACCCTGGGGAAGTTTAGTCTCCTCATCCTCCTCACCCTGCTGCCACCATTTCTAAAGGGTTAGTAAGAGTCCAGGAGTCATGCAGGCCCTGGGCTTTCCCCAACCGGCTAGAAGAAGGAAGTAGACGCCCTTAGCCAGCTGGGGAGCTGGGCTGGGCGCCGATCTGTATTTCGGGGTTCAGTCCCATGGGTGGCAGCCTGGCTGAATTCCCAACTGTGCTAAGGGCTGGGGTCACCTGCCCAGATACGTTGCATAGCCCAAACCCATGACAAAAGTCTGAGTGGAAATGGAACCCTCTTTCTCCCACACACCAAAATGTCGCCTTTTGGCAGTGCGGCCCCTAATCCTGCATGTCGCCTGAGGGTCACACTGCAGGCGCAGGGCTTCGCTGGGTCCTGCCTCCTGGAAGGTGCTCACAGACCAACTCCAGGGTCGACAGCCGGCACAGCAAATGCTGGCGGTTAGGTGCTCAAATAACATTCTTCATTCCTCTTTTTCAAAGTTGATTTATAGCAATCGACAGGTTAAAGCCTCATCTGACTTCATTACTTTTAAAAGCTGTCTATTTCACAACTGTCACTTTTCATCACTTAGCTCAAATAAATACCTGAAGAAATGAATTGGAAGAGACTTTCAGATCATGTTTATAATTCTTGGTCGCTGCGTTAACATTCCTAATGACCTGACCCTCTGAGTTTCTGCAGCCTTCTAAATTGGGCCGAAAATTCCTCCTTATATACTAGAAAACTTCAAGGAAGGTGAGGTGGCCGGAAATGCGGCTCAAGGGAGAAGTGCAGCGGCTGCATGTGGAAGGCGCAGCAAAGCATCCCAGCAGCTGCGAGAGCCCAGGCCCGAGACCCAGGGCCACAGACAGAGGGACAGCTCACGGGTCAGGGGATTCCCTTGGAACCAGCTGCTGACAGGAGGGCCCCAGCCTCCCAGCCGCGCCGCCCGCCCGCGTTCCTCGGGTACCGCCAACCAGGCTGCAAAACCACGAGAAAATTCATACCAGAAGGAAACGCTGTTCATTGGGACTATTACTATTATTATTTCTATCACTGTTTCAAAAATGATTTTAAAGGGCCCCCACGACCGCAGATTAGGAGTGGCAAAGTGAGAGCCATTTTCTCCCAGTCATCTTTGACTCAGAGTTTGTGAGACACCCAGAAAGAGCAGAAGCGTGGAAACGAAATCGTACGCACTGAAGTCCGTTCAATAAATTGAAATAGTTTCTTCAATTTTGCTACCATTTGCCCAAGCCTTCTAGTATTACCAGCGGGTGGTAATACTTTCACTTTCTCTCTCTCTCTTTCTCTTTCAAGCTCTATCTCTGTCTCTCTCTCTCACACACAGACACACACACACACACACACACAGAGCTCTAAGAAAATAGGGGGAAGAATACAGAAAAAAATAAACGAAAGGAGAGGTAAGAAAAAAACTACAGAAAATAAAAGGAAAAGGAAGGGAAGAAAAAGGAAATGAGAGAAAAGAAGAAAGCCAGGAAAAACCAAAAACTATTTTTTTTCTTTTTTAGTTTGGGGGACAACTATAGAACACATATTTTCCTTCTTTTATTTTTTTCTTTGAAAAAGAACAACAACAACAAAACCCTAAGCTGCGTCTCTGAGCTTTTAGTGGATTGGGCGCTTGCTCGGTGTGCCTGGGCCGAGGCTGACTCCAGCGCTCCGCTCCCCGAGCCTAGGGACCTGCAGCCCCAGCGTCCGCCCCGCCCGGGAATTTCGAATATTTCCCCCGAGCGGCGGCGCGCGGAGTGTGCCTCTCGCCTCTCGCCACCACAGCTCTCCTCGCCGCCGCCAACCTTCCCCAGTCGTGGCCTCCGACCTTCGCCCACCCTGCGGACAGCTCGGCCTAGGTGGGTCTGAGCGCTCCCGACTTTCCGCTCAGAGGCTTTAGGAACCCCGAGTTAAAGCTGCTCGGTGGCCGCTGCCTCGCTGCGGGGACGCGGCGGCGGATGCGCTCGGTGGCGAAAACCTGGGCGCGCTGCCGTACCTTGGAGCGCCACCTAGCCGCAGAAACTGGAATGACGCCGCCGAGCCTCCCAGCCTGCTGCAGCCTAACTTGAACGTCACCCGGACTTTTTCCCTAATCGAAACCCTCAGAGAAGTGCAACGCACAGGCCTTCTGACGGGTTAAAAACCATTATCTGTGACCGACAGATCCCACAGTGGCTGCATTGGGATGAAGGGAAAATAACAGGAGAAGGAGAAAAATATATAGGCACAATTTCACCAAGTCTAAAGTAGTCACTCAAGCTGGGGAGCTGCTTTCCTAGAAAGGATAAAATAAATGAGACATGGTCTTTAGGAAGCCACTAGTTCGGGCCGCCGTGTATTTCGGGTCATGCAGTTGCGGCCAATGCAGATATCTCCCATGAGGTGGTGCCTATAAAGTCATCCCTTCCCAATTATGATTTCCACCAAAATTCACTTATTCTGGTCAGTCCAGCATTAAAGGCGTTCTGCAGTGCCAGTCGCCAGCCTACTGGGACACTGCACCCACAGCTTTTGGCTTTGCTGACTAAATAACCTAAAATATAGCCCCCAACATGTACACCTATCCGCTGGTGAAAGTAGTAATTGACAAGAATTGCAAATTACACAGCCTTTCTTTCCAAGGTGCAACTGGGCATTTGACACTATTTTATCCAGTTGATGACAGGTTTGCCCCGATCTTACATCCACACGACCATAAAATACACAGAAAACTTAATCCACTTACATGGTGAGCCTTTGCTTCAATTTGTCTTCGAAGTGCACCATCCCAGAGATGGGTGTTTTAAGTTAAAACAAACGTTACATGCCAAAAATGGTTTTAAAGTAGAGCATCTCTCTCACAGTCCAGTGAGGATTTGTGTGGTTTCTTTGTTTTGAAGGAAGGTGCAGAACCTTTATTTAATGTAGTTTTTATTACAAATTTCAAATCTTTTTATTTTTTAAGGAGCTCTGTGGACCCTACAAATAATAGGAACTGAACTGGGGACTATAGGGTGGGGTTACAGTTTATTTGGTGGTGTGTAAGCCCCTGTATTTCCCTGCCCGAGCAATCCCAACATAGAGATCGCTTCTGGAACCTCCGCAGTCCCCTGAGTTAGCGGAGTGAGCCCCCAAAGGGCAGGCAGGGTATAGACTGAGTGCCCCTTCTCCCTGTAACCAGGGCTCCTCCTTGCTGATTAGGAGCTCTCAGATCTTGCTCAGAAATTACGCCAGAAAAACAGCCAGGTTGGCTTTCTGGCTGGCTTGTCTCTTCTCCATCAGGCTAGGAAAGATTCCTGTAAGACCACACAGAAGAAAGGCCCCAATTTCCTAGCAGAACTTGAATGAGCATTCCTAATAACTGCCAGCTAAGGAGGGGTGGCCCGGGCCCTGGGGGTCTTGAGGCCTGGGCATGGGGGTGGGGGTTGGTGCTAACATGGGGAGAAGGCAGCTGATGAAACATAATAGGAGCACAGGGGGAATTCTCAAGAGGGTCCTGGGGCCCACTGATGGCCAGCAGTGAGGAACTAGGACAAAAACGGAGGAGAGGAAAGCATAGAAAATGGTATGTGTGAATCTGCATGCCTACAGTTTGGAAAAGGAGTTCTGAACTGGAAAAGGTCTTCTCTCTCTCTCTCTCTTCAAACTCCCCCACCCCCCCTTCTTCTCTCCCTTCATTTCTCTCTCCTCCAACCCTTCCTCTTCTCACATTAAGGTTTTCTGTTTTTTTTTTTTTTTCACCCAATAATGCCTGGAGATGAAAAATGATTTTTATTGCTATTACACTTCCTACCGCAAGATGCAGTGCAAGGCGGCCGAGTTTGTATTACAACTATGTCACAATGTTTCACTGATGCAAAACATGTAGCCAGAGGGTGTTGCTAATGACTCCTGGATTAGAGTGAGATTGAGACTGGGAGAAAAAGAAAAAGAGAGAACAAGAGACAGAGGAAGGGAGGAGAGAGACGAATTTCATTAGAGAACGGGGAAAATCACTGTATAATCAGCTCTAATAATCTAATCAGGATATTTTCAGATTTCCAGGTTCTCTCCACGCTTAAGAGTGTGAGCTACAGAGAGACCATTATCCTTTTAAACACCACAAAGGTTTTTTTGCATGTTAATAACTATTAATTATGTTTACAGCCAGTAAAGTGAAGAACTCTCCTTTGGAAAGAAACTTCGGAAAACGCTTAATAGCAGACTAAAGCTTTTTCCTGGAGCCAAGGTCGCTTGGAGGGAGGTGGGGGCAGGGTAATCACCCAAGGGTGTGCCGAGCCCGAGGCAGCTAGCAGAGGCTTAAAGCCCCTGCCCGTGGTCGTGCACACAAATGTGCAAACGCCTGTGACGGCCTGTTGGGGTCCAGGGTGCCCCGTCGGACCCGTGGCGGAACTCATAGGCGCAGCCAGCCGCCCGGGCTCGGCTTCCGCTTGGTCTTGGCAAAAATGTCCCTCCGGGCTCCGAACTCCCCGGCGCCCTCCCCCGAGACCAGCTCTATTTAGGGAAACGGGAGGTTTCGCGGTTCCTACCGTGGCCCAGGCCGGTCCCACCGCCCAGCAGTCCGCTTCTGCCCCCCGGGGCACAGCAAGGAGGGCGTTCCCTCTGGGCTGCGGCCCTTTGAACCCGGGGAGCCCTCGACTCCCGCCAGGACTCGCGGAGCTCGCTCGGGGCCCGGCTGCGGAGCCGAGTGTGGGTGGCGGGTGGCGTTGAAGGGGAGTGGGGGAGGCTGGAGGGGATGGAGGGGCGGGGGCGGGAGCCGGGCGTTAAGCCTGGAAGCTTGGCTGTTTACCCAAACGATTTTCCTTTCAGACCCGAGACGCCAATGAGACAAGATCAAACTCCCCTTCTCGTAGTGCGTGTGTGGGGTGTGTGTGTGTGTGTGTGTGTGTGTGTGTGTGTCCTCTTCCAGGAGGGGTTTTGTGAATGGGGGCTCCAGGATGTCGGCTGGGAGGGACCAGAGGCCGGCCCGGGCACCAGCGCCTCCTCCCGGGGACTGGGAGAAGCCGGTCGGAGGGCTCGAGGTCTGAGCGCACCGAAGGGCGCGGCGCCCCAGTCACAGTGGTCCTCTGGGAGAGAAGGGAACAACAGGAACACAGGCCACGGAGAGCGAGGGGCCGCGTCCCCAAAGGCCCAGCCAGGAGACACACGGTCGTGTGCAGGAGGGGGAGGGGGAGAATAATATGAATCACATCCTCCTTCCAGTCCCTTAATTTCCGATCCCTCCAAAGCCACTGGTTTCTTCCCGACTCCCTCGCTCGAGATCTATTAGCTGCAAATTAGGCCAAGGTTTTGGCGATTACGGTGCAATTCAGGCCGAGTAACACGCGCCGCCTGGCCTGCGCCTGGGTCTCTCTTCGCACTGCAAAATGGTTAGAAACGAAGAGAGGATGGGTAGCCTGTACTGATAAGACATTGGTCATTTTAAAAAGGGCCCCGACCGAAGAATATCCATCAGCCTGGGGGATCTGGGGAAGGGGGAAGAGGGAAGAGGAGCCGAGCAGGCTGAAGTCTGAGCTGCGGCGCAGCAGGTGACAATAGTCCTGGGCATGGCTCCTGCAGTTGCTCTGGGGACAAACCGGGACTAAAATCTCGTTTAAACAACAACAACAACAACAGTATTAATATCACTGATAAAAAGAATCAGAAGGCAGCATATTTATTAAGATCATAAATGATTAAAATCTGGTTACATGAACATTGTATGTATAGTTAATGGCACTACCTCCCACAACTCATTGCTCACCGAAGATCAATTAAAGGCTTAACTAAAGAATTCTTTCTGGAAGAAAAAGGTGTTATTGCGATGCTCTGACTCACCCTCTATTGCTTCTTCTGCATCAGCCTGGCCCTAGTGCCCCCCACTCTTCCCACATATGCATCCCTTACTGAAGGATTCTCTCTTTTTTAACTGACCAACCACCAACTCCCTGTCCAGAATATTCTTATTTAACCAGAATTCCCCTCCGCTGGTGCTGACATGGATGGGGCATATTAGGGACCTGCTAACCCTTCTTCAGGCCTCTGTGTCTTCTGCTCAGGTGTCCCAGGCCTGGAAAACACTCTAGGGGGGACTCTAGGGGCCTCTGGCTTTCTCCCACATGTCGGGGTGGAGGGCTGCAGCTCCAAGGCTCAGAGGGAGCAGAGGCAGCTGATGGGCCTCTGGGTATGAATAGAGGTGCTTAAGGACCTAGCTACGCATGTTGTTGGCCTGGAATAAATGTGTGTAAGAGGGGAGATGCTCATGGAGGAAACCGGATGTGCCTAATAATGATTGACACCACCATCTAACATTTATTAAGCGCTTACTACGTGCCAGTCACTGTGTCCACATCTCTGGGGCCTCCAAGCCTGAGGACAAACCACTGTGGCCAAGGGTAGGCCTCTGAGCCGGGTGGCTGGGCCAGGGCAGCCAGCCAGCCAGATAGGTGTCCTTGTGTGGCTGAGGTCAAGGTTTCCGCTTCCCCGTCCGTCCTGGGGTGGCATCCAGGAGCCAGACCGAGGCCTTCTCCCCACCTGCCCGCCGTCGTCCCCTGACAACCAGTCCGTAGCGTGTGGCCATGAGCTGTGCGGGCTTCCAGGCCAAAGGGGAGGTCAACAGGTTCTAGCTACGTTCGCTCTTCTTCCAGCTCAAGTCCTTAAAAGAACGTAGACCGGGCCGAGAGGGCCGCGGAGGCCAGGCTCGGGCAGATGGGGAGTGCTCAGTGCGCCGAGGCCAAGTCCACAGCCAGTCCAGGAGCCCCGCATCCTGTGCCTCCTCCCGCTCAGGTCGCGGCAACGCTGCACCAGGAGAGGTGCGCCTCCCTCGCGGTGCCAGAGGGCGCTTGACTGACTCCCGGGCTTCAGCAGCCGCGAAGGCGGCCCCCGGCTTTCGCGGCCTGGTGCGCACCCAGGGCAGGGGCCAGGCGCGGCACTCGGGCCGCTCTCCACGCCCCACCCCGCCGGGGTGTTCTAGCCTCCAGCTCCAGGCAGCCAGAACGGGAGTTTTCCTCCATTCTCCGACTCTTCCTCCCATCCCCCTAACGCAGGAGGCTGAGACTCGCCGGTGACCCAGTGCCGCGCCCCGTGAGAATGGAAAAAAGCAGGCGCTGCTCTCTGTCTGGAGACAAAAGGCCTCTGCTTTCAGGCTCCCTCGGGCTTGGCCACTAGGTCTTTCGCACCGGCTTCCACCTATGCAGAGGAGGCAGGAGCAGGTGAAAGCGGCGATGCAGCGAGGGCTCAGCCAGCGAGTCTTAATTGATCCCAGAAACTGAACATCTCCGAATCCACGGGCATAGGTACGACCAGGCATCTGCTGCAGAAATACACAGTCTGCCCCCAGCACCCCTCAGCAGCCCCCATCCAGCCATCTTCTTATAAAGGGGCCCCTGGTTGCCGGTGTTTTCCTTCTAGTCTGATTGCAAATCACCTGGCAGCTAGAAACCCTCGCCCCCTGATATCGACCTGCAGAGGTTACTCCTTTCCCTAAAAACGACTCTGGCTTGCTTTCTTCTACTAGACCCACGGGAGAATTCACTGTTTTTTACATTAAAAAAACAAAAACAAAAAAAAAACTTTAAACGCTCTCTGGGTGAGAGATGTGGTTGGAACTCTCCGAGTCTCCTGGTTCACCACACTAACTCTCTGCTGCTCCTGAAAAGCTAGTCCTCTGAAGAAGAAATAAGTCTTTTCCTGCAGTCTATCATTTCGGTATTACAAATAACTACCGTGGAGCGAGAAATACCCACGGCTTGAGACTATTGATAGATGATAGTAGCGATATTCACAATCGATCCCTTAATAGGCAGACGTCATAAATCATGTTCAATGCCCTGACAGCAGAGTACTTCACATAATAATATTATTAAGATTAAAATTCGAGAGGGATTGGAGGCAGCGGGTATTGATACCTTCAAAAATTACATTCTGGATATGACGATGGCACGGAAAAGGACCTTGGGAAACTATAACCCCATTCCCCAAAAGTGGAGTCTTCTGGCCTGCTCCTGGCTTGTGCTGAGCCCCTCCCGCCCTCCTGTCCCTGCACACACTCTTTTTCCCCACCAGTAACCCAAATCTCCCATAGGTCTGAGCAGAGAGTAGGCCCACTCTTTCTCAGAAATGCTATCCAGTAGGATAAGAATTAATAGGGTTCGGATGAGTTTCTTGGATTTAGGAACTGTTTAAAAATTCATTCCTTCAGCCTTGAATATTAAGTTTTAAAAAAATGTTCGGCAGACCTAGGAAATGATGCCGTTTGTTCTTTCAGTACAATTAGGTTCCTGAACAAAGTTTGCAAAATTACATATAAATAACTGAATATATGCAGATATGCCAATCCACTTCATCCCTGAAACTCAACTGCCTGTACACCTTCAGGGAACCTCGGGCCTCAGGACAAAACCCCAAACTTCACATTAAGAGTAAAAGCAGAGTGGTCACATCCCATGCAGCAGTGATAGTCTGCTCTTTGCTTCATGAGTAGAACTGATTATAAGTGCAGCTGAAATTATTTCAGAGTGGAATATTAATCAAATCAATCAGAGCTGACAAATGAGAAATATTTGAAAGTCAGTGGCAATTTACAACTTTGTTATTGGTTAAAAATCTTTTGCCTTGTAACAGTAATTAATAATGCTTAGAAAAGAACGATTTGGAAATCCCCTTCCCATTCTTTTTATTTTTCTCTGGCTCTTAAAGAAGGAAAGAGAAAGGAAGCAAATGAGTGATCAGTAGAAACAGGAAAAACACTGAGTCGTTTGTGGGGAGAACAAAACTGGAAAATATAAAAGAAAGGGAAAAAAGATTAACCCCATGGGAGGCCATCAGGAAATAAAGAAAATACAGGAGGAGGGGTAGTAAATCAGAAAATGAATTCTGTAACCATACCCCATGAGCAGGCTGGCTAAAGGTTGAATTTCAAATGGCCCAGAAACCCCATCAAAATGAACAGTGCTGCTAAAATATCTTGAAAGTAGCTCAGCTCTGAATCCAGGCAGAGCTCAGGGTATTGTCTGTTTTGTTGTTGTTAACAATGTATTTCTTTATGGCCCAGGAGCAGCCGTGTGCAGGCTCTTTCCCAAATTCAATCCCTGGAGACCAGACTGGCTTTCATGTTTCTGGTGTTAACTCTTCTTTTGGTCATAGCCAATCCCCCCACCCACCCATCTTACATTGATTATTAGATTGTCTCAGCCCCACCTAAACAAAATACCCAAATAATGACTTGTTGAATAACTATAAATCATTTTGGCCTCTGAGTTTGGAAAATCATTTCAGTGAAAAGGCTTTGCTGTGAAATGCTAAAGAAATTCCCAACCTTCTGCTCACTGAGGAAGAGCTGCTACTTTTATTTGTTGAGCTTTAATTTGTTGGATGTGGAAATTTTTCAGGTTGGTTAAAAAGGATGGAGGGGAAAAAACAACTTTGGCAAACTTTATCTGGACTTTACTATAAGCCCCAGTTTTGTCTCATTGAACCCAAGCTGGGTCTACAAAAAGTAGCTTGAGATTGAGATTTATTGGACTCTAAATGAAAAGATTCATTTGATATAAGAGGTTAACTCAAAGTTCCTACACCGTGACTAGCTTCAGCAAATGCCTTTGTTGGGTCAGCACAAAAGCAGTTCAAAGAAATCTTAAAAACACACCGAGATATAGACACACAAACACATTCTCCCAGTTAAGCCACAAATGCAATTCTCTTTTCTTTGTCATTTTTTTTCTGTCATTACAAACCTCCAGCTTCTTTCTAAATGGCTGGGATGGTCTCCCCTAACTCATCAAACTTTGCCATTTTGTATCTTTTGCTTTTGCTAGAACTCAATGAAAGAATGAGGGGGTATGAGAAAGTAAAAGGGGGGAAGTGAACTAATTTGGATAAA